CCAAGCACTGAAGCACACGCTTCACTTGCAGTGGTTGACTTCAACGAGACAACTCATGCTCAAAAATAAGCACGTGTGCAAGTGATGGCCTGGAGTCAGAATGCTCAGCACCTACCAGATTTGAGCCCCAACAGCCTCAAGGGAGAAGGAACACGCTGGTGCTTCCGGAGATGCCAACATGGTGGTCACCTTAGTGCACGTTCTGTATGAGACACCGGCATTGCTGTACGCTCCCCGGCTGAGCAAACAAGTCTCAATTCCCTAAGAGAGGGGAAATGCTAATTTATACAGTAATATTTCCTACTAGGTATACATCAGTAGATTAAGGACCAGACATTCTCTAGGTCTTTTAACCAGCATTTCATCTTCTTGCTCTACCAATCATCCCTGTAGCATGACTCTCCAAGAGACGCATTTTTGACAATCTTTTACAGTAAGCCCCTTCTTGCTGATGAGAAGAACTGTACCAGTATACAAAACATAGGCTGAATAATACAAAGCAATCAATGTAATCTTTATAGCAATGAATCCTGAATGCAAAAGTAATGAGTTTGCAGAGTTTTTTTGGGCAGGCTTCTAGGACTCAGTAAGTCAATAATTCTGCAATCGTCACTTTTTGCGGTTACCACCAGAAGTTCTGATTGCGAGGACGTGGAGTACAGAACCAGCTAGTCTGGCCTTGGTAAAACTGTGTGATCCAAAAACGGGAAGGTTATATGTTTCTAGTTTTAAAGAACAAAAAGTCTCCTTTTGTACAGACAACAGCTGAATTAGCACTGGGACATAGTAAATTAGATTATATGTTTTAGAGTATATTCAAGCACATTTCTGTACGCATCATGCTACCAAATCATGAAAGGCACATAATTAGCTTAGAGAGCATGTCTAAACTTCCTTTTTAAAGCAGAACCAACACAGCAGCACACTGGCATTCCAGTTCTGAAACCAACGCGCCAAATTCAGCCCTCGGGCCTACTGTGCTGTCTTAATGGGGTTACTTACTGGTGGCTACTGAGAGCAAAACTCAGCCCAGCACCTTTAAACAAGTCCATCACTTTGGAGAACTTACCGCAAAAATATCAGAAGGAAAGTGATGCAGTAAAAACCCGAGGGGCAATACGCATGGCATTGAACTGTCTGGGTGAATTTAACACTTCCAATCCCTTGTCATGGACTGCACCAGAAACATTTAAACAAATAGGTGGACCCAGAAATGTATTTCACTCTTGTTCACTAGAGTATTCGATAGAGAGAGGTTTTCTGTTGGAATTGTCTTTAGTTAGGTGCACTCAGTGCTTAATATGTAATGAAAGTGGCACTGGGGCTCAAGCAATTTTTTTTACTTTCATAACGGATGCAGCAAGCCCACAGGTGCCGTGGCTATGAACTGCCAAGCCCACAGGTGCCAGGGCTATGAACTGCCAAGACTAGCGGTGCTGGGGCTCAGCCCTGGCACAAATTAAGCACAGTGGGCACTTAATGGTATGTTACTATCTGCTGTAGATGGTTGCATCTATGGCTACATCGCCATAATGCGCTAGGAACTTGGGCCCCTGCTTGCGTATACATACGCTACCTTGCGAGTATAAATAGCAGCATAGCTGTGGTAGCACAGCTACCGTGCTCCTGGGGCAATTCTGCGCCAAAAAATAAAAAATTCTGCACCAAAAAATTTAAAATTCTGCGCATGATATTTTAAAATTCTGCAAAATTCTGCATATTTTATTTGTCAAAATAATGCAATATAATCACTCTGGTTTCAATTATTTAGGTAATTGATTTAAACTACAATACAATGGATGCAGAATGGCAGTGGGGAGCATTGGAGGAAATCCCCAACCCCCCTTACCTAATAGTAATGTAGCTAGGTTTGACCCTTTATTTCTAGTTATTAGTCAACAAATATATGCAGCCATATGCTCAGTGTTACAGCATAGGTAACTGAAGAGCAAGTGAGAGCTGGGGAATCAAACTCACAATTTATATTGGCTACTGACCATCTCCAGAAAGGTCAGTAGCAAACAGTTCATGGAGCACATTTTGATAGGAAATGTTTTCAGTCCAAATATTTAGACCAGTTCTAATCATGAAAGCACCATAAGCATTTATAAGGCCATACTGCCCTTTACACCCCTCTGGCAATATGAGGGAGTCTTAAAACTTTTACACCTGTTTTATACTCCTGGGGGAATTCACAAAGACAATAAGAACAGGAGTACTTGTGGCACCTTAGAGACTAACAATTTGTTAGTCTCTAAGGTGCCACAAGTACTCCTGTTCTTTTTGCGGATACAGACTAACACGGCTGCTACTCTGAAACAAAGACAATAGGAACAATTCACTAAACAGGCAGGCTGCTTCATTCTGCTCTGCCTGAGGGGACAGAGTCTGCCCCATGCCTGCCTCCTCAGAAACACCCTGAAGTCCTGCCCCTCCATGCTGAGCTTGCTGTAATAGCTTGCACGACTGCCCACTCACCCCCTCACAGAGGTGATTTAAGTCTCTACCAGCTGCTCCGGGCACCCGAGCCAATCTGCCTGTGCTGCCAGGGAGGGGCGCATGACCGCTCTTGCAGCTTTCCTTTGCATTCCCATAAGAAGTCATTTTTCTGCGGGGAAGCAAAGAAATCTGCAGGAGTCACGAATTCTGCGCATGCGCAGTGGTGCAGAATCCCCCCAGGAGTACACTACTAGTGGCAGCAAAGGCATGGCTCAGCTGTGCCAAGTGCATACCCACCAGTTTCAGGCAGGTTGGGGACTCTTATTAGCGCTTGGCTACATAGAGCATTAGTCCCACCAGAAGGGTGTAAATTTTAGTCTGCACTAACAGGCTGCAAATGGGCCTGCATGGACCCTGCTGGCGTTAAAAGTTCCCTACTGCATGTTAACATAGTCCTGTTTCAAACAGTCCTACATTAATGCACACTGGGGAATTTTTAGTGCATGCCAGCAGGGCCCACATGGGCCAGTTAGCGTGTGACACACTTGTGCAGACTAAAACATACACCCCTCTGGTGAAGACTGACACATCATATTGACAAACCCTAAGATATAGTATTCTTGGTGGAATGTATCATTGCTTGGTAACGTTCCTGTAGGATCATTCTACAGATAGAGGATCTGAGGCACAGAAAAGCTAAATGACTGACCCAAGGTCACACAGGGAGTTTGTGGCAGAGCAGGAACTTGAACCCAGTTCTCCCAAATCCCAGTGTAGTGGCCTAACCCCTGAACCATCCCTCCTTCCAAAAGACATCCATTTTTGATTAACTCTTTAAATCAGCATTGGCCTCATTGGAGCTACTACTCTATTTCCATCAGCTGAGGATGTGGCCCATAATATTTCACCTTATTCCTACCTCCTGAAACTTTTGATAATGTGGTATTATGTCTCCTATTTTTCCTTCATTCCTTTGCACTGAAGAACTCCAGCAATCAAAAGCTTGGGAAAAGAGATGTTAGTGTAACATTCACTTTGATCAGCAATGAATTATTCCCTTGTGTACAAAGTATTTGGTCTCTACAATAGCGCACAGGTAGTGACCCGCGATGATGGCAAAGAAAGACCACAAATGCATATGCTACAGATCTTTTCATTTCCTTTTGGTGGTAAGAAAAGCAAAAATAATCTTGTACAGGAAAGTGCTTGGAAAAAAACAATTGTTAGAAAAATAATGGCATTGGTACAGCAAAAAAATATAATTACATTTACTTCACAAGAACTAATATTTCAGTGGTCCCCACCTTTTTTTCCCTAACTTATTTAAATCTATCAGTGATTCTAAAGATAAGTAACTATAAATAATTCCCTTACATTTTATTTCATAATTTTAGGTTTCTCTTGCCTCTGTTGCCAGCGGTTATTAAACTACATGGTAGAAAGGAATACGTACAGGTCTAAATAATATTTCTTTTTTATAAATACTCATTCACTTCATTACAGAAAATAAAATCAGCCTGCACTGTCTAAGCATTAATTGAGCACCATTGTTTTTCTCCTAAAGTTAGTGCAATTTTCCCTTTTCCCCTACAGGACAGAAGCTTTAATGATGAGTAGTAATCACAAAATCACGATTTCATAGCTACTCTTTCTCTTCCCCCTCGCCCTGTTATTTTTTTTTAATAAAACATACTTTGAAATGGTATTTTTGGCATTTTCTCAAAAAATATTGTGGGTGTCATTTCATTACCATTACTCATAAAGGTTGGTGATAAACTATTAGTCTGCCTGTTGTATGACCATATCCTACTACTTGGTGAAATATAAAATGCAAAATGCATATGGGATAATGTATCTTCTTTTTGGATCCAAACATTACATGCATGAATTCTTAGGCAACATTTGACAAAGTAGGCAAAGGCCAGAGTCTCCGAGAGGTGGAAATTAGCATAACCTTGTTGACTTTAATAGAGCTATGTCAATTTATACCCACTGGGGATCTGGCTAGCAATTTTCATTCTAAAATAGACCAAGTTTAGATGGCAGAATAAAGATGCTGATAACAGCCTAGCAAAGGCCTGGATTACAAAACAGTGGACATGATCATGAACAGATTAGACAAACACCAGCCCGGGATGGTCTAGTTAACAACTAGTCCTGCCTTAGTGCAGGGGAGTGAACTAGATGACCTATCGAGGTACCTTCCAGCCCTATGTTTCTATGATCGTAGTTTATCGATACTATAGTTTTCAACAAACTGATTACATTTGCTCTCCTTAGTGATGACTGAGGTATAATGCAGGTTAACAGGATCTCAAAAGGTTCTGAGGTTGGGTTTGGTAAGTATGTGCACCCAAAAGTTCAGGTATTTATCCAAATTTTTGGATAAACTCTTTGGTTTCACAAATTGCTGAAAGTCCCCGGATGTTCCCTCCTATACTGTTCCTGAGAGTGCCTGGCTTCTGATCACACCCAAAATAGAGTGAATATGGGCAATATGTTCCCATGTGTAGTAAAACTGTAGGGAAAGAACTAAGGGTCTTCATACAAAAATAGCCTCACCAAGTCACCACCACACAACGTCCTGCAGAGTTCTGAGTAGATGGCCTGTATGTAACAGGCAGCAAGGCTGGTGACATACAGACAAAGACCACTTCTGCAGTCATTACTCAGCCAAACTGACTCCAGTGGGAGCTATTCTTGAACAAGGACTACAGAATCAGTTGCGCCTGGATGGGAGAAACCCAAAGAGCACAGATGCCTTGCTGGGGAAGAGCAAAGCAATGCACTAGTACACATTAACCAGCGTGTGTAAGAGGGGCCACGTGTTTGCACGTACAAAGTGATCTGATTGAGACACCTTGGAAATCCGAGATGAAGCTTACTCATCCCCTCTTGTTTGCAGATGGCCCTGTATGTATAGAAATCCACTGCAGCATTGCAGATGTCTGCTGATACTGAGTTACTGCAGCCCAGAACAGTAACTTATGCCTTGTCTGGTAAGTTAGGATGTTTTTCCAGTGTGTCCTGGCTCTTCCACGACCCCTCCCACATTTTCACAGACCCCACTACTAAGATGATGTTTAGAAGCTTGATGTCCCAAGGTGGCAGGAGCATAATGCAAAGTAGGTGGGTTTGGCTTATAATTTTGAGGCAGATTTTGCTATGCTTTTCAGTGTACACACCATGGGATCATATGGCCCAATCAGACTGTCTTGGACAAATCCAGCGCCCCATTTCAAGACGGAACCAGGAAGTTCCACAGCTGATGCAATTAGAATATATTAATTTTAAAAATGTAACCAAGGTTTTGTGAACCTTAAAAATGGGTTTCAAGTTTTGGACCCATTGGCAGGGTGAGATCCTAGGTTTGGGTTAGACCTTAGTTTATCTTAATTGGCTCATCCATCCATTTCCCCCTTTTATCTATGGTGGCACTGTATCTAACTGTCTAAAGCTACAGAGAATTAATAAATACATTGTGGTAGCACCAAACCAGCGGCTGTTAGCACTGGCCACAGAGGTCATATGAAATTTAAAATATACCTAAAAGATAGTGACTGATAAAACAGCACACAGTGTATTCATTCTTCATTTGTTCCCCCCTTAGTGCTGTCGGCCTAATAAGTAAAAAAAACCAAAACAACCCAACCTGCTCTATTTTCCTTATAAAAAGATTGTACTGAAATGCCAAAAATACCCCTATGCAAATTGCGTAGCACCTTGAAAGGCCAAAGCAGCCTGTAACAAGAAGACAAATTACTGATTGAAAGTAAACAATTGAGTACAGTGACAATGAAGTATCACTTTTGTCATAATGCTACATATAATGTAGAGTACGTAAAATGCAGTGGTTTGACTGCAAGGTTTAACACAAAAAACAGTAAAAGCAGCCTTAATATAAACATTTTACGTACAAAAATATTAAATCAAAATAAATAATTCCAGCCATAAATATTATACTTTACATCATTAAGAATATACAATATCTATATACACACACACACAAGTACAAAAGTAGAAGGCAGAGGTATTGCAACACTATCCTTCATCCATCTCATCTCCCTGCTTTCAGAAAACCTGAAATATACAAACAAGTTACATGGTTTAGTAAGATGGTTATTTTTGCTTTTGAAACATCGACTTCTCATATCAGAAAAGCTTGGAGCCAAACAGCTTGAGGACGCCAACTCGAAAATCAAATATCCATCTGAAAATGTTATATCATATCTGCTATTGTTACAGGTAGCACCTGAGGTTGCAAGAGCTGAAAAGAGCAGAGAAAACACGTTTCTCCACCTCTTTCAGTTTGCATATGACAGTTCTGTATGTACAGTCAGTCTCACTGTTTCCCTGAGCTTGACCCTGCTCCCATTCAAGAAAATCAACAAATTCCCATAAAGTTTAATGGTGCAGAATCAAGCGGTTTATGGTGTGATCCACTCAGCATGGGGGGGGGGGGGGGAAGCCATCAAGGAACCACAACCATAAGTGTAACCGGATCCTTGATTCTAAGGGGCAGCTGCTTCAGCCGGAGGGCAAAGGGGTGAGTTACTGCAGGGGCTCTGATTGACTCCAGCTGGCTATGGTCTAAGGGGCTGTACTCCAGCTGAGAATGGGTGGAGCACAGTTCTTGGCACGTCTGAGTAAAATCAACCCGTCTCCAGTGTGGGGTCTTTTGGACAACATCTTAAAAACGGAGGCCCAGCCTACGTGGAAATGGAGGACTAAATTTTCAATGGGCAATTTGAACCCTGAAGACTGGACCCATGTGATTTACCATTGTGATTTACCATTGCACTTACCATGACTGCATGTGTAATTACTGCACGTGCAAATGAATATTTAGATGTCTAAATCCCCATTCTGAACATGCAATTTCAGTAAGTGTGCGTACAATCATGGAAAATGCAGGCATAAATGTAGGTCCACAAATGAACATGCCTTCTTGCATGTGGACCTTCTCTAAAAATTTGGTCCATATGATCTCTGGTATTTTCTTCAAGTGGAGTGTTTTGTCTTGGCGTCTAGGACATAAAGCAATTCCTTGCCTTGTGTTGTATGTGCCAGCTGGCAGTCCTTTCCATCCCTATGGTGGCTGAGTATCAGTGAAGCCGTATGAATTTACATGGTTGTTTGATAATTCCTTTGGAATTAAAGGCATTATATACAAGTCAAATTTTAATACCAGTGGAGTTTAACTACTGGGTAACATTTTCAAAAGCACTTAAGTGACTTAGAAACCCAAAGCCCAAGTCCCATTTTCAAAAGAGACTTAGGCATTCAGGGTAACATTTTAAAAAATGCCTAAGTCCAAAGCAGACAGAATTCTAAGTGCCTAAATCTGGTTTGAAAATAGGACTCAGGAGTGTTTTTCTTTAGCAATAAATTCCTGGAACGATTTCCCTTAGCACCAAAACAATGGGAACCTACCATTGCTACAACACTTGAACCTCGAGGCCTGTTCCAGATGATGGAGTGCACTTTCCACAGTAACCACCACATTTCCCTATTACTTTGGTACCATCCTGCGGGAAAAATCAGAAATGATGTCTCAAAACCATGTCACACCAGAGGAAATCAAATGCTGCCATTTCCAGATACCCGAGTCTGTGGCTCTTTTAATAATAAAACTGAAAAAGTTTATTGGAAGGGAAAAAATTCTGCCCAAAAATCTATAATGATTTATGAATTAACTGCTATTTTTTTCCTTCGATGCAAATGTAATTACATTTATGGCTAATAGGTCAGATGCTGGCCCATTTGCATGCAGAGAAAGTAGAGTATTTGTGAACTGCCAAATGAAATGACACCCAAGGAGAAGGCCATTCGATGGGAAGTCCTCTAGGCCTGAGCTTTCTCCAACTTGCCCCCACAGAGAGAACTTTCTCATGAGTGAATTACTCGGCTCCTCCCCGTGGATAGGGACGCAGATTAGATAGGAGAAACAAGACAGCTGGAAAGAAACTGCACCTCAAATGTTACCGAGCACGTGAAGGGCAAGGAAAGATGTTTGCCGACACGACAGCCAAGTGTTTATTTGGAGGGGAAAAGCCTGGTGTGGTGCAGCAGCCCCAGGTGTGATGAAAAGTGATGCTGTGGGAATGTGGAGTTCACTAGATCTGGCAGCTATTCTCCCAGATTTCTACAGTGCTCTCCATCCTTTCTACACTGTAGACCAGGGGCAGTCCATTATTTTTTGGTCAAGGTCCAAATTTCTTGGTCAAGGTCCAGACTCCCGGAGGAAAATAATAAAAAACCAAATATCCCCACCAACAACCACCCACCACCTCAAGTAAATTAACAAAATATTTCTGGGTTTGTTCAAGTGTCTGGCAGTCCAGATTTGGCCTGTAGTCCACCTATAGACTACCCCTGCTGTAGCCCACTGATAGATGGTGGAAGACAGACAAGAACGAGAAGACCTTAGGCCTGAGTCTGATCTCGGTTAAATCAGTGTCACCCCATCAGATTCAATGGATCTACACCAGAGTAACTGAGATTTGAATCTGGCCCTCTCCGCCTCCTGTTGTCTACAGAGCATGCCCCCCTCTTGGTCATTTCCACAGACACACGCTTTTCAGAGGGTAATTGAGCCTTAAATTGCCTGAAGATTGGACTTAAATGCAGCGCAAGCCTGCACAGAGCACTTATTTTTAAACTGCAGTGTATGAGCTCTCTCCAGCGCTTGGTGCTATTGATCTGTGATTGTAGCAGACCACCCTCATCTCCGATTGGTATTTCTTCTCTCCTTCGGTTTGCTCTGGCACTTACACCCCAAGAAGGTTGCCAAGAGTGATCAAACTAAGCCATGTCCCTCAGGGCTTGTTTTAATTCTGCCAACTATAATTGCCCCATTCGCCTCTCTCAGCACCTAACTGGACTGCTGGAGGTCTGTTGCTGAAGCTTCTCCTTCCTGAAGGGGAGATGACTAGATCTGTCCCGGCCCCGACTCGGATCCAGGGCTTTGCGTCCTGAGCTCACTGGCAGCTAAAGTGGAGCAGAAGCAGCTGCTCCTTCCCAGTATTAGGCACCAGTGATGTCAGCAGCTGTCGCAAGGGATACAGAGACCCCTGAAACTGACAAACACCAATCTAAGGCTGGGTTCTGCTGGGCCCTGACATGGGTGCAGAGTGGGGCGCGGCACAAGGAGCTTCCCCCTGCACTGAGCTGCCCCCAAAAGGACCAGAGAGAATGGCTAACCTTGCAAGGAAAGAGAGGAGAGGGGCAAAGGGAGGCAGGAGAAGAGGACAGGGCCACAGCTGGACTCCTCTGTACAAAGGTGAGAGCAGAGATTGCTTTGTTCTCATTACTCTAGGGGCGCACAGTGCCCTCAGAAGGGGCAGAGAAGAGGGAAAGCTATGCCTGCTTCCCCCCCACACTCCATGCACTGGTGAGCAGAGAGGGGCTGGTGTACCAGAAGCACGGACATGGTAGTGCCCCTTGTGCTGGGGGAGTTCAGGGAGGTATTCTGCCTCCTGGTGCTAGCCCTGGGGCAGTGCAGCGCCTCACCACCCCTTCGGATGAGCTCTGACCCCAGTCCATAATCAGGCACAAAACTGACTGCCGGCTCCAAACCCTCTCCCCCCTGCCACCAAAATATAATCTTTAGCAAAGTGAGATAAAAAGGTCTAGAAAGAAACACTGACATATCAAGCCATTGCTACGAGAGTCCAAACTGACTAACACCAGGAGACTGCACCAGCTCCAACACCAGTGGCATTATCCTTATCAAAGAGCATCTGAGTTTGGACAGCACTTCGCACAATAGGGTCCTGGGCCATAAGCATGACTTCTAGGCACTGTCACAATACACATAATAAATGAGGTTATGCTGGATGGTGTGAATGGCTGCCATCAGGTGGGGCTTTGATCATGAGACCTGTTTAAATGGCAACTGGAGGAAGCAATTAATCTCCTTTTATATAGTGATAGCTAAAACAATAGAAGCCACTGCCCAAGGCATTGGGGTACACGGCAAGCCTGTGCAAGAATTAACTGAGGGAAATAAGAAGGGTTTCTTTGGGACTGATTGCAAACACGGGGCCAAGGGTTTGTTTGACACGCCAAGTGTGTGTGTGTGAAGCGAACAGACTGAGAGAGAAGCAGTGGTGAGCGTGACCCTGAGAAAGAGAGCAGAGAGACAGAGTTCCTTGGGACACATGACTGCCTAGGGAAGCAGGCTTGGAAGCAAAGTAATTGCCTGCTGTTTGTTCTTACTGTGTTCAGGGAAACGGGAGGTTGTGTACATTCTTTGTAAATAAATAGGATTACACCAAAGAATATACCTGACTTGTATCTTCCATTTCTCCTAACGGAAGCAATCCTGCAAAGCCTCGATAACTGGCTAGCCACTTGGGCCACGGAGCAACAGTAATAATAATAACCAAGCCATAGAGCAGAAAAGTAATGCCAGGTATAAATGTTAAATGCTTATGGTGACATGGGGTTGTAGATGGGGCCTCTCTGAGGCACTGATGTCTGGATAATACCGCGCACTGGAAATAATGACCAAAATCACTTCCAAAAGTTAGCACCGATTCTCAGAGTTCAAAGCATGATCAATATCTGGAGGGGGAAGGTGTGAGAGGTGAATATCCACAGGGAATATCCCCTTCCCATTGACCGCATGCTGCAAGCAATTCACACCGTGTCTGTGCAAGCCATGAAGGGCTCCATCCGATGAGATGTTGAGCACTGCAGCCCAGATCCTGCCAGGCACGTAACTTTGATTTCAGTGAGATTGCTCTCACGCTGCTCGGCACCTGGCTGGATGAAGCCCCAAGTATAAAGTGGGAATCTGTAGTGAGCAGAGGGCAGAACCCACCCCCCCTTGCCTGAGCTGATCCTCGCGTTCTTATTCAGGGTTCTGGCTGGAAGTTTGAAAGGTGCCTATGGGAGTTAGATGTTCAGTTCCTCTTCAAACCCAGAGAGGCTCCTCTGAAAACCTTAGCCATGAACTCTAAGAGGACGCAGCCTGAAGACATTACAGCCTAAGAATGATTCTCTTGCTTGGTTCTTCTTTTCCTCTCTGCTAGCTTCAGTCTTTATCTTTTCTCACTTTCCCCCCCACTCTCTCTTCTCACCTCATACCTTGACATCCTCTTCTCCCACTGTCTGTCACCCCTTCTGCCTCTCTCCTCTTTCCCTTTGTAAGTAATACCAGCACCACAGTTCAGGGCAACTGCACCTGTATTTCCACCTCTGTGGTCCCCCAAGGGCACCTACTCTAGGCCCCAGGCTCTTCAACCGTCACCTCTCTTGGGTGGAGAGCTGTGCTTCTTCCCCTCCTGACCGGGGTTTTTCCAGACTGCACAGTTCCCTGCTTACACACATGCTAAGAAGCTTACCAGAGATCACTCTCCAACTCTAACAAGGGCTCTGGTCGGAGTTAGTTCTTCAAACCTCCCCAAAGGGTTTTTCTGTGGTTACAAGTTCATAACAGCCTCAACTCAGAACAAGACACCGACAGCGCAGATCAGCCTGTTTCTTTTTTCAGCTTGGGCCTTTGATCCCCAACCTTCGGAAACAGGTAATGAGCAGATAACAATCCCTTCCTCCGGGCCTGGCTTCAAAAGGTTGCGTTTTGGCTAACCAGCAGATGGCATTTGTATTCACCTCCTCCTAGGAATTCCGCGTCATGCATATTGTCCCAAAAGATCATTCTTGTCTGCCGCATTGTTCAATAGAGCCCCTTGATCACCCCAGCCCACAATAATGCAGAACCTCGGCATTTAATACATTGGACTCCAAAGATACTTAAACTTAATTCAGTAAGGTTTTCCAAGCATATTGCAGGAAATTGCCATGTCTGTCACAACCAGCATCTGATACTGACCAGGGATAAGCCAGCATCTAACCCTAATATCTACCCATGCTGGACACAGATGGACAAACATTGACTAAGTGGGTCTTTAAGAGTAACTGCTCTAGCAGCCAAAAGAGTTAAGCTGCTTGGGGGCAGAGCTGGCTTCTTCATTATAGTGAAATGGGATCCTGATTCTAAAAGCTACTGCAAGCAAATAATAATAGCCACACCCCCATTATTGGTTTTACTGATTGCTCTTGGTCATGAAATTAGACATTATAGATAGAAAAGGCTGATGAGGTCAAATTTTGCAGCCCTTACTCAGGCAAAGCTCCCAGCAAGAACTTTTCCTGAAGCAGGGACACAGAATGTGGTCCATCCTGGTTCCACATCCTGTCTGGCGCAGGCTCCCTGCAGAAGGATTCAGAAGCTAATTAAAGACGCGTGTGCACCGCAGTGTTCAGTGATTTTAGCTTCCTGGTTAAACAGACCCATTAATTAATTGCAATAATTCAGATCAAGTAAAGTTTACTACACCTGTCCTACTCCAATACACACACACACACACACACACACACACAGTTATGGGTTATGCTTCACATATCTACTGCCTTACGTTGGATTTCATTATGACATGTTGTTAGAAGAATGATTCTATGCACGATAAGGTGGCACACGGTAATTAGGTACCTCACATTAGCAGGTATAACCAGATTCAGAATTAATACGCTCGTTCTCTTACCGGGGATTTTTGAATTTCCGACACCGCGTAATTCCCTTGCGAGATCCATTTTGCTGTTTCTGTTAGCGAAAGGCCTGTTCTGTAAAGGTCAATGCTAAAGCGACCCTAAAACATAAAAACACATCGATTATCACAAAGACGTACCTTCTGAAATGGCTCAAGCAAAACACGCTCTGAGAAGGGTGCACAAGGAACCTGAGACCCCACATAACCCCAGAGCCATATTTAAATTATATTATTCTTCACTGTTGCAAGCACGCTTCTGTAACAACATGCCACGGTGTCATTTTTCTAACAAGATCTCGCCGGCGATGTTTTCAATTTTTCCAAGCCCTGAGAGTGATTAGCACATACTGTACAAATCACAGCATGACTCAGATTAAGAATTTCTTTTCATTTGGGGCTTCAAAGGAGGAGGCTGCTTTTCCACCATCGGCCAGCTGAGGGCACTCTTGGCCTTCCCATTGCAAGCTGCAGAACCTGGTATCCTTCATCAGCTCCTGGAACATGGAACAAAACTGCATCCAACTCAGCCACACTGATAGCTTTTTTCCCCTTCCTTCTCACCTGCAGAGGGCATCCATGTTCTTATTTTGTCCTGCCTTCCCCCCCACCCCAACTTAAATAAAAATCAAAACTCTGTTTTGTTTGGTTTTTAGATATGTCCTTAACTTAACTGTCCTTTTTTTATCAGAAGCAAAAAATGCTCACAAAATTAAGGGGTAAGTCTGCACTTGATGCCCATGCATAACTCCCGTTAGCAAACGCCCACCTGACTTTGTGCTTTGAAATACCCCTTTCCACCTAACCCAAAGTCCGTGAACCTGCTGGCTGTTATCTCAGCCTGACCTGGAGTCCAAGATGGCTGCTCTACTAGGAAAAGGCAGACTGTGGCTAGCTGTGCTCAATGTACTCGCTACCTCGGGAATGTGAATGTTAAATGCCACATATCTACTTAGGTGGAGAGAAATCAACATTCCTGAACGTTCCTGAAGTAACAAGTCAATCCCTGAGACGTGGTGCTGTACAGAAACACAACAGCTCCAAAAGTTGGAAGGCAAGGAACCGGAGAGACCTCTCTTCCGCTGTCAGCTTCCTGGACTCCTCATTCACTAAACCTCGCTCCCCCTATGACCAAGGTCGAGAAACAAGTTCTTTCTATCAGAACTGATCACTCGTTATTCTTGCTCCAGAATTCAACAGTGTTATAAGCTGGTTGTGCTGGAAGCCGATAACACCTAGGAGGCTAAATGAGGCACCGGTAACATAATGTAATCTAGCCTTCTACTGACATATTGTATTTCAATATAGTGTATATCACGCCACGCGTCAGGGTGAAGCTACTACATGCTAGCAGGAGCGGCAGAAGGTCCCTAAAAGTGGGGGGGGCTACCGAACGGAGGCTCCACCCTCACACCGCCCCTCCCCTCCCGAGGCTCCACCCCCATGCCAACCCTTCCCCCGTCCTTGCACCACCCTTTCCCCCTAAGATCCCATCCCCCACTTGCTCCTCTCCAGCCTCTCCTTCCCATCGCTAGGTAAAAAGTGGGAGGGCCATGGCCCCCTGGCCCCCCATTCCGACGCCCCTGCATGCTAGAGCATTTCCAAATGTGCATATTGGTCACAACCACACTTCTCCACCTCACTGGGCCTGTTCTTCCCTCCCTTTCCTCTGCAGGCTGCACAAACACCTCCACACTTGGCCCCTTCACTCTCCTCTCCCTCTGCTGTGTGCACCCCAACACCAGCGCACCGCTCCCCTGCGGCGGAGACCAGACGATCACACAGACTTCAGTAGATTGATCGATTCTGTCTTCAGCGCCACCATCTTCCTTGCCAGACAGCTCTACTGCTCACGGGCTGCACCTGTGCCCACAGTCCCCCCGGCCCCTTTTTGCTTCTGACTCTCAACTTCCTCTTGCTTGCATTCTCTGCGGGAACACGTGTGTTATCTGAGGAGGACTCTCTCCACTGCCTTCCACTTGCCTCAATCCTCTTCACACACCTTTCCCAGCACTGTCTCCTTCAACCTGATCTCCAACTTGAGGTGTCTCTCTCGCTCCTCTCTCCTAAATCCCCCATATCCTTCCAACTCTGAACCTTCCTCTTCCATCCGCTCTCCCTCCTCTTTAACCACTTTCCCCTTCGCCTTCAGATATGCCACATTCCCTCCGGCCCCCGAAAACTTTCCTGCAAGCCTCATGACAAGCCCATCTCCATCCTCCATTTTGCCTCTAGGCTTCTCAAGTGCATGATCCCTGTTCCTGCTCACCTGACTTCCTTTTCCTTGATCTGCTGTTTGGCTCTGTCCCCTTCCCAGCCACACCTCCTCTTTGGTTGCATTCTTCTTGACTTGGCTGGTAAAGTTGTCCTCTCTCTCTATGCCTTAGCACTCTGTGACTGTGCTATCTTGATCTCCATCCTTGTTCTCCAGCCGCTCCTTCAGTGCCTCCTCCTCTGCGTCTCTCTCACTAGTGCAGAAGTCCCTCAGGGTTCCCTGATTGGTTCTCCCCTTTTTCTCTTTGTACGTTCAGCCTGTGTGCCCTCAGCCACTCGAACAGCGTGAAGCATCACTGTTATGCTGATGATTCACAGATCTGCTGCTCCACCCCAGACCCACCCCTGCAATTCAGCTACATCACATATCTCGGACTGTCTCATGCAGTGGTTTTCAACCCTGGGGGTCCACAGACTATGTCTAAGAGGTCTGCGAAAGGTTGTCGTTACCAGAGAACAATGGTTTTCAACCTCTGGTCTCCGCACCCCTGGGGGTCCGCAGCCTATGGCTAAGATTTCCAAAGGGGTCCGCACCTCCATCCAAAATTTTTTAGGGGTCCGCAAATGAAAAAGGTTGACAACCACTGATCTAATAGCTCAATCTAGCAGAAGAATGGTTCAGAGCTTAAGGTGCTAACTAGGGATTTGGGAGATCCAGGTTCAATTCCCTACTTCACCACAGACTTCCTAGGCAAGTCACTTAGTCTCTTTGTGCCCCAACTGAAAAGTGGGGGTAATAGCACTGCCCTATCTCACAGGTGTGCTGTGAGGGTAAATGCATTAAAGAAAGCAAGGTACATAGATACTACTGTTGGGGACCAGATAAGTACCCAAGATCAATAGAGGGGGAGGGATAGCTCAGTGGTTTGAGCATTGGCCTGCTAAACCCACGGTTGTGAGTTCAATTCTTGAGGGGGCCACTTAGGGATCTGGGGCAAAATCAGTACTTGGTCCTGCTTGTGAAGGCAGGGGGCTGGACTCGATGACCTTTCAGGGTCCCTTCCAGTTCTAGGAGATAGGTATATCTCCATGTATTAGATCCCACCAGTGCAAACTGAATCAGGCAAAACCTCACCAATCTTTTTTTTTACCCTTGTTTCCCCTTTATTGTCAATTCTCTCCCCCCGTGCTGGGCTGTTGGATCAGGCCTGGCTTTATGGAATGTCTTTTTTTGAACCCTGCTGGTTGTCTCCCAATAGCCCAATGGCTGTTTGCAGAACAGAAAGTACACTTTGTACAGACAAAAGAAAGTTTCAGACCGCTGAGATGAGAATGTGACAGTTGTTGGAGTTGGGCTGACGTGATCAAGAGTAATTAATATAAAGTCTGAACATAACAAATGGAACCAGTCCCTAAGAAATGTTATTGTCAAATACCTGTGGGCATTTGGCCGCACTGTAGCAGTCCCCCGCAGTGGCATAAGGAACAGGTCGTCCATCATGTGTCCGTGCAAACTGTAAATCAGTTGCTGAGAAAATTATTTGGTGAACAGCATAGAGAGGACATATGGGGAGAGAGAGAAATTTGAACACGTTATTTGCTAACCAGTACATCTGGGAAATTTGCTTTTATATGTTTATCTAGTGAGTTCAGCAAGATCTTTTCTCTTCGCTTTGCAGCAGTAAAACCCCACTTCAGCAGGTTGCTTAAGAACATGTGTAACATTCCGCACACGAGTAACGCACTGCACTGAGTGGGGTTCCTCACACATGGAAAGTTGCGCATGTCTTCAAGTACCTTGATGAATTTGATTGTGTAGAAACAACAACTAACACGGACAGAATGGTTTTGGTTATATTCTCACAGCAGAAAATTTCCCAGTAATCTGAACCCACCGGTAAGACAAAACACATGAACATCCAAAGCGTATATTTTCCCTTAAACAAAACACGGTATTGGAACAGAACAAAACTGTTGTTTCAAAGTTAGAAGGGCTTAGTGAAAAATGCCAGCTGATTGATTTCAAATAACGTACAACAAATCAGAATGGGATTTTCAGAGGAGACTATGGAGATTAAATGACCATTTCCTTTTGTATTTCGATGGGACTGGGGTGTCTCATCCCCTTAGGCTCCTTTGAAAAGCTGAACCTCCTGGTTTCTATAGCTCACATGGCAGGAATATTGCCAAAGTGCCTAGCAATTTGCAAAGGAAGTGATAGCAATCACGTGAGATTGGTTTATCTGGCCGTTTAAAAAATCTGCAATCTTTGCCCCCTCAATGCCAGTACTAATACTATGTTGCATTTTAAAAATATTTGCTGAAAACTGATACCCAGCCAAATTCTACCCTTAGATGTAGGTGTGTGGGGCTCCTCTTGGAGTCAATCTCAATGGGCCATCAGACATGCACCCCCAGCTCACCCAGCGTCCATGGGCATGGCAGGCATAGGAGATACATGTCCCATCCTCCTCCCACTGAAACCAATAGCACAGCTCCCATCGCCTTCAACAGGAGTAAGTTTGGTTCCCTATGGTTGGCTCATTACCTACTGAAGTCAAGAGAAATACTCCTATTGACTTCAATGGCCATTGGCTCAGGCCCTTGAAGAGTTCAGAGTTCAGTTCCAACTGCACTAATGGGAGTTATATACTGGAGTGCTCCATGCAGGGATGAGCATCTCTGAGTCCCTGGGGCCCGATCGTGCAATTGCAGCTAATGGCATGTTGTGAGTGAGAGAGAGACGCAGGGCCAGGCTCTCCAGGGTTATATTTGCCATTCGATTCCAATTTAATATAAAAATATCAACAAACCAACGCATAAACCAGGCTGAGTTCACAGCAAGGCAACGGATAATTCAAAGGAATGAGAAAACTGTCATTATTCTGCGTTTTTTCCTGTCTCAAGGTGATCTAGTTTAATCATTCCTAGTGCCCCTAAACTGCTTTTCAGGGTAAAGATCTGATGATTTGGGGTGATCGGGTATAAAATGAAAGGAGGTCTTTCACAAGACAGCCCAAGAACATGGCACACCGAATTCCCTCTCTTTGTCTGTACTTACAGCTCCATTTGGGTAAAAGGCCCTGTTTTTTACTCACTTATTATCTGCATTGTGTTCAGGTCCAGCCTGACTTTGCTGAAGGCAGAAAAACCAGCTGCGGTGTAATCTTTCCTACATTGGCAGTCTTCTCGTCTGCTCCCGTTATACGGACATTCGGTCGGGTTATGTAATCTAAATCAAAAGAAAACCCTTTCTACTCATGACAGGAAAATATTGCCATGGAAAACAAAGCAGCATGAAGCTCAGAGCCAAGAGATTGCTTACCTGTAGCCGTACACTTCAGAGAAATTCTCCGCATACCCACTGACAAGAGTCACATACTCTTTTGGGCTGTCAGTCTGCATCCCAGCACAATATATCTGAGAGTGACAGAGATCATCATTTTGTCAGACACGGACTGTGGAAAGCATGTGACTAGAAAACTGACGGTGGGAAATGCATAAGTGAAGAGCGCACACAAGATAACCGTGCAGCTTTAAGAAATGCGGAATAGGTCGCCGAAACACACCTTTAATATCCTTCCTTTCACTTTAAGATAATATTCACCATCTTCAATGACACCTTTGAGTCTTTTAACATCTTGGCAGCTGCTTGGTAATTCACCTGAAATGACACCGAAATAGTCAAGTAGTCATTGCAGATCACCATTCCTTCTGGGAGCGCTTAGGCCCTGATCCCGTGTAGCATCTAAACATATGCTTAACTTTAAGCACGGGAGTGGTTCCAGGGAAATCACACACATGTTCAGCGCTTTGCCGAATCAAGGGCCTGATGCGGGAAGTGCCGAGGACTGCAGCCCTCACGGAAGTCAATGGGAGCTGCAGGCGCTCGGTGCCTCTCTGGCTCCACCGTAAGCGGAAAGCACCAATCCGTAGACTTACAGTCATAGATGTTGTGACACGTCCTCCTCTCTTCGGGTTTTAAATCAGCATGGCACAAAGCGCTCGCCTGGTCATCGTTGGTCAAGCATTGCACTGACCGGTGCATCACTCCAATGCCACAAGTCACCGAGCACTATAAAATAAAACATTGTAAGTACTGTGCTATTACTGGTGCTTATGGTGCTAGGCAGGTAAAACACAGACCGTTGGTTGGTGAAGATCAGATTGCCAAGGCCCCAGCCCAGCCCAGCACGTGAGCACACGCTGAACTTTAGACACACAAGGAGTCCCATGGTTTCTGTGGGACTACGCACCAGCCTTAAAGTGCTTTGCAGGATTGGGGCAGAAATGGTTCAAGTGAACCATATGCTCAAGCAAAGAGTCCCAGTGGCTGCTCATTCCACTTGCTCAACCCAGTGAACTGACATTGTTTCACACCAGCAGGGATGCACGACAGAGAAACATTCATTAGGGAGCCAGAATTCAAGCAAGTCTGCTTACGAATGTGAATCTCTGCTCCGGGTCACAGAAAGGCCCCTTTGAACAAACATGGGTTCATTTATGATTTCATATCCAAACTGTGCAAGAGATCAGGTGAAACAGTGGCTACACCTGGGCTCTCTTTGAAACCCAAACTCAAAAGGAAACTCAGGGGTAAGGACTGAAACCAAAGGAAGTGTTTACACCAGCTCCTGTAAACGGAAATCATCCGGTTTTGCGCAGCTCGAGGCCTGAATTTTCAAAAGCGAAGAGTGATTTTGGATGCTCTCCATGTTTGGGAACCCAACTGGAGACACCTTAAAAGGACCAGTGCTCCCATTAAGTTTTAAAAATCAGGCCCATTTACGGTGTCTCAGAATGGGCAGCCAGAATCACTAGTTCCTGTTGAAAATTTATTCCTAACTAGTGCACAGTAAGATGGCGAAAACATTCTGCACGTGTTAGAGCCAATCACAAATTATCAATTTGTGCCTGTCCCTGGGTCACTCTGTATCAGTCCCTGAACCATAACATTTCAATGGGAGCAGAATGGGGCCCAGGATTTGAACAAAGCTGAGAATTATTTCCACACTAAATTATTTTGAAAATCAAAGGGTGGCAAAGCCATGGTAGTTTACAATGGTTGGTAAGGACAATAGGGGAAACCAACAGCCCAATTTTTACTTTCTGAAGTGTGTGTAACTCCCAAAAGAAGTTCTATTAACTCAGACAAATTTCACAATGTTTTGCTTGACTCAATCCCCATAAAGATTCGCTACACGTCCTTATATGCCTGAGATGTGTTAATGAATCAAAGCCACTGGGGAACATAATGTTTCAAAGAATGGCAAAGTCTTCAAAAGTGAATTGTCATCTTTTAACCAAAATCTGATCTGGTGGTTTAGGATCCAGAAAAGGTTTGGCGCCATAATAATTTTACACTGAAAGGATAGTTTCTTTTCAATGCTCTATCATAGCACTTGAAGTAAGGGGGGAAAGGAAAGTGTAATTCTTTGTGTGTTGATTATTAAGCCTTGAACATTCATGTGAGTGAATTTCATTCCAAAACACATGGCCAACCATCGCTTTTGCTAGATCCCAGTCAAAAGATCACTTCCTCTTTTTTGCCCATCTGTACAAAGGCTGCTGGGATATACAAGCTACCTGGGATGGCAAGAGTAAGTCAAGCAGAGTACAGAGGGGAGCTGGGAGGAAGAGATCTGTGCCATGCAGTCTTGCTAAGCCAGAAGGGGAGAGCAGAAAGGAAGGGCCATAGGGATCAGAGAACCATTGACGGTTCTGTGACTGGAGTTATCGGTCACCTGGCTTCAGCAGCAGTGCTGTGAGCATCGGAGCTGTCAGCTGTTTGACCGCTGGGTGTGGGACCCTTGGGAACAGTCTCATAGGCTAAAGCTGCCATTGCCTGAATGTGTGTTAACCAACGCATCAATTTTGGGCCAATGTTTTGACCCACCGGCTCAACTTCAGCCTTTCTCGCCCCTTGGTAATACTGCCTCTCTCCAGGCACAATTCAACATTAAACTTACGCTCCCCCAGTTGCCAACTCGCCATGTTGCCAAAACTGGACATTCCCCAAGGTAGCATGTGTGGACATTTGGTGGCTGGGTGCCAGGGCAGTTGTCTGTATTCTGGTAACCGTACTCGTAATGGTCCTTCTCGGTGTAAATTTCACTGCACGAGACCAACCTTTGCTTATAGCCCTTGCCGCAGGTCACAGAGCACTGGGGAAATAAAGGAGTTTGGTTAACGTTGTCCATGGGTGCTCGCAGCGTGTCTTTCACAAACAGGGAAAAAGAAAGGCTAGCTTGAATTTTATGCCAGTTATGGAGGTGGTGTGGGGGAAGGGATACTATATGCTTGTGCTCAGAATGATCAATAAATGTCCGGTCTCTCTCTCTGTATCTCTCTCCCCTGTATTTTCTTGGGCTCCTCCCCACCTCACCTTTTACCATTTCTTTCTTTCTTTTTCTCTCTCTCTCATCTCTGCTGTGTCAGCAGCAGCCTGGTCAGTTTCCTCTGTTGCTCTTCCAAGTGGAAAGTACTCCTTCACTTGATGCAGAAAGAAACAATCTGTGATTAGTTTGTTTCCTTCTGCAGTGAGCTCTGGCTCCAAAGGGAAGTAGACAATTTTCCTCGGCACGCCTCCTCCTTCACATTTTAGGTGGCAAATCCTGCTCGCTTTACTCCCACGAGTAGCCCTGTGAGGGCCAGTGAGAGGGCTGGGGTCAGGAAAGCGAGCAGGATTGGGCTCTCAAATGCTACGGTATGCAGGATTAAGAGAAGGATCTGGTAATTATGCTGATCTTCGAAGGCCAGATTCTAGGCTGATGAAATTGGTGTAGCTCCACTGAACTCAATGGAGTTATACCGATTCCCACCAGCTAAGGAGCCGTTTCTAGTGGAACTGTGCAAACAGGAGGCCGTGGTTTGACTGCGTTCACTTATGTTATGTGTACCAAGGGAATAAAAACATATTTAATCTACACTGTACAGTAGGTGGAATCCATGAGGGAATAAAAACGCTTCAAGTTATCAACCAGGACTGTACTGGAAACTGATCTTTACTTTTTAATATCCTCTCTTTTGTTCCTCTCTCCCACAGAGAAACTACATAGAAAGAAACAAACTAATAATTAAAGTATCCAGCACCATGCTGCCAGCACTAATTACTGCTCCAGCACATCAACCCAGGCTTTTCTTGGGGGGGAGGGGGCAAAGGGATGGTGCTCCTGTGTGGAAAGACTTGAGTTTTTTGGTGACATTTGCACCAAGCTGAGAATCAGCATCACTCCATCCAAGTCAAAGGAACTCCATTGCTTTGCTCCAGCGGGGGGGTTGGCTCTGGCTATTCAGAGGGTACATTCACACCCTGATCAGACTAATGATGTTGAGGCTCCCAGTCCAATCAGCAGAATGACAATTGCCGCGGAGCGCTGCGGTAGATTCCCTATGGTGCTCACCTCAGACCACTCCCCTGTAATCCAGATGTACTCGCAAGGCAGTAAATTGCAGCTCTCCCTATCAGAGGGGCGCTTGCTCGCATCACAATTCACGCTGTCCTCCTCTTGGTTATTCTGATTCATGCACACAACTTTCCGGTACCGGGACCCTTCCCCGCACGTTTTCATGCACTGCCAATAAATGAGAGAGGTCAGCACGGATGTCACAGAACTTCATTTTAATTCACGTAGTGACGCAAAAACATTTCCCCAGTACAAATGATAAACTAATGCTACTTATAACTAATAATAGAAAGCAACAGCATTCATGTGTATCAGAGGTAGCGACAAGCGGCCACAACTGAAATCGAGGCTCCACCGTGCTAGGCACTGCACAAACTAATAAAGAGAAAGAGCCCAGGTCTTGAAGAGCAAACATTTACATAGTAGGGCTGCCAATTTTGGTTGGATGTATTCCTGGAGGTTTCATCACAGGACATAATTTTTAATGAAATATTCATCTTTAATTCCTGGAGACTCCAGGCCAATCCTGGAGGGTTGGCAACCCTACTACATGAACAAGACAAAGGGTGGAAGGGGAAACAGAGGCACAAAGAGGTTGAATGACTTTCAAAAGGTCACACAGCTAGTCAGTGGGTATATAATATAGGGTTTTTGATTCCCAGTCCAGTGCCCCACCCACTCACTAGACCCTACCTGCCTCTTATTGTCTTTCTAACATGCCTATTTTATATCTAATTAATGTAAAATATGGTTTTGCTTCCTTATTGGCCATCCTCATTTTGAGACTAGGAATTGTTCAGGGGCTGCTCGCAGCCTGATGTAACAAGAGTTGGCAAGAGTCAATAGGGCGGCACGGATTAGTTTTTAAATGCGGGTGGATCCAATTTGTCCTCGGCTACCTTGCGCAGCCCAGATGGAAGAATTAACTTCAGTGTGGGTTTATGTATTTAGATTTAGCCAACAACATACTGAGGAGAATGGCAGGTAAGCAGGTAAGGTAAGAATGGCAGGTAAGTGGAGGGTAGACAGAATGTGCATGGAAAAATGAGGGGAAGATAAACTTGGAACTGTCGTTGATGGATTGGCTGGAGAATGCACATTTGAGGAGGGTTGGACGTGTGATAAGAATGGGAGAAGAATGACCGGCAAAGAAAGCATTGGAGGAAAGGGACTGCAATGGAAGACAGAGGATACAATGGAAAGACTGCCAAGAGAAGAGTGAAGAAAAAAGGACTTGAACTCCAGGGCCTATAACCCTGTAGGGGTAGATTGACTTCTATATTTGGGGAGACAACTCCAGCCAGGCCAACGGGGCTGCGTGTGGGGAGCAAATTCTGCACCTTCCTGAGACTTGCAGTTTGGAGGAGCAATGCTCCCCCATGGCCCTCCCCAAACTATGTGCATGCCTATAACCAGAAGGAGTGGCAAATAATCATGGGCACCTCCGACACCATGTAAACGGGAAAAGAAGTTGAGAAGTGAAGCGAAGTGGGGTTTATGTATTTAGGTTTATTAAAAAGCACCTATCACCAATATTAAAAAATAAAAAATGATTTGTGTCCTACACAAAAGATGAGAGCCCAGAGAAGGACTCCGGAAGAAAGGTTCCCCAATGATCGCTCATTTTGAATAATAAGCTAGCTTCGTACGGTACACATCTGGCACCCTTTACAACAATATTTCAGTGCTTCACAATCTTGAATATATTTATCCTCCCCACATCCTTGTGAGGCAGGGCAGGGCTACCACCCCCATTTTACAGATGGGGAACTGAGGCACAAAGTCTGTGGCAAAGCACGGACTTGAACCCAGGTCGACACTAGACAAGAGCCCTGACCTCTGGGCCAGCCTTCGTCTACTGCCCTACAACCAGACAACTCAACCCTTCCTGCAAGGCCCAGGAACCTTTGCAACACACCCCAAAGCTCAACAGACTTGGGCTTTGTTGGGCAAAAAGTAGGGGGAAGTGAGACTTTCAGAGTGAAGGGAGCCTCTCAGCTGGCTGGGGTCCGTCAGCTCAAGCACCTCCTCTGATTGCAAACGCCATGTTACCCCCGAGGGAGAAGAGCTCTCTCTCTCTCTCTCTCTCTCTCTCACAGCCTGGGCCCAAACCATGGAAGGCTTCCTAAGTCAAAACCAACATTTTAGACTCCACTTACAATCTGACTGGAAGTGCGTTCACTGTCTGATGGAGCGAGCAGCCTTCTGCACTAATTTACGTTTCCAAAAGATCTGGAGGGGAAACCCCCTGGGGAGTGCACCACAGCCGTCTCGCCTCGAGGGGACCCAGGCGTGGCTCATTGGAGCAAGGCCCGCATTTCGAAGGGAAGGTCGCCCCTGATTTCCCAAGCACTGGTGAAGAAAAAGCAGCCCCTACTGAGACTGCTTGGACTGTGGGAGGGCGACTGAGAGCAGAACGGGAGCTCTTCATCAGCCAAAACACGCTAGGCAAACAGGTCCTGTGTACACGCTTTACCCACCTCGGGCTGGGCTCTGAAAATACCTTGATCGATGGATGGAGAGGTTCACCACTGCTCCTGAAAGGCCCAATCATTCAGCCCTCTCTGTGGCACTACTCCCATGAGTAAGGGCTGGAAGATCAAGCGCCTAACTCAGCTTAAAGGTTAAAGTAAAGGGAAAGTGCAGCTCCCCCACCCATGCTAAAAGCAGAAGGAGAGCTCCCCTTCTCAACTTGGCTTGAGTAAAGCGGGCTCCCCTCTCTCCTCCTTGACTGGTGCCTTGAGAGGTCCCCCTACTGCTTCAACCTGGTTTAACCATTGCCGCTACAATGCACGGTATTACGAGCAGGATACTTCAGCCAAGCCCAACAAATGCTTTCTAAGCCTTCTGCAGCCACCGGAGGATGGAGAAACACTCTGATCACAAGGCCGTGCTAAACTAGGGCATGGTTCCTTCCTGCACTCACACAGATAGGTTCTCTTCTCAAAGCGCATTCTACCAAAAGTATGGAAGGGTCAGAGCCATTGACAGCAGAAAAGTCAAAATAAAAAATTACCAGAAGCGGCTAAGCTTTCAGCTACCTGGAGTCGTTAACAGACCATTTCTTGAAAATTATCATTGGATATAATGTGCAGGAATTGTCTTCCTCTAAGCAAAGGATGTAATATTCAATCGGACTGCACGCACGCCCACACACACAAATCTACATGCCAAGTTACCTAGGGTTTCATCCAGTTAGCTTCACCATTTGTACATCATTTTCAAGATCTCTGACCCAGTCACTGCTTTCCTATGATGAGCGAGATCTACCGAATACACCTAGGTGAAAGGCAGTACTATCAGAGCCTTTTGTTTTTAATTAGCTGTCAGAACCTAGACCTCAAATTATTTCTTGAGAAGGCTGAAATAAAACGTCAATAAGTAGAAGTGCTGTGGTTCTGAGCAGCATAGCCCTTTGGATGCAGAGGGCTCGCAGGAAATGCAAGTTAATGCTCAACATCAATATTTAGTAAATAGTAATCATGCAAAACTGGAAACACCCCCACCCAGCAGCTTTCATTTTGGAGGAGTAATTTAGCAGCTCTGAGACAAGAGCCAATATTAAAAAATCTGCAGTCTGGCAAAAGACCCCACGGTCTGCATGTGCTTTCCACCTTATTTACACTCTTGTTGTAAGTCCCAAGAGTGGAAATTTCCCCTAGGTCCGAACTGAAATGTAGCACTCTTAAGGGGAACAGATTAATTTGCTTGACTGTGATTTCCCCAGAGAACGAACCAAATGTGCTATATTTGCCCTTCTCAGGTATCGCCTCATGGTATAAGTAGAGAACTCTTTAAATTACATTTAAAAGTGGGTTACTGGATTCCCTAAGCACAGTCAACAAAAAGCATTAATTGTCACCTTTCCAATGCAGCCGTAGTGCTCCATTCTAATTAGGGAGTTTCTGCAGAAACCTGGATGTGACGGGAGAGGGAATAAGTTGTATGATTTTTAAGCTAGACTGATGCCAGCCCCGGTAAATGAAGAGAAATTTCATCTAAGCCCAGCAATAATACCACAAGCAAAAGGTTTGAGCATTGGCCTGCTAAACCCAGGGTTGAGAGTTCAATCCTCGAGGGGGCCATTTAGGGAACTGGGGTAAAAATCTGTCTGGGGATTGGTCCTGCTTTGAGCAGGGGGTTGGACTAGATGACCTCCTGAGGTCCCTTCCAACCCTGAGATTCTATGACTCTAGGTAGTGGAAGCCCCCTTGCTAGGCTGAAATATACTAGAAAATGTTCAGACTGTCACATTGTCCAAGAGGCAGAAGAATCCTTGAACATGACTTCCAGTTTGCCCTTAGATGCTATGGGGAAAAGACAAAGTGACTGACAGATACAGTGACAATATATTGCCATATTGTGTTATTCATTTTTTAACTTGGGAGGAAGGAGGGTCTTGCAGTTAAGATACATGGACTGAGACCCAGGAAATGAGATTCCAGTTCCTGGATTTCATGAGTGACCCTGGGCAAATCGCTTCATCTCTCGGTGCCTCACAGTTGCTCATCTGTAAAATGAGGAATCTTGCCATGTACCCTGAAGAGCAAAAGACCTGAGCAAAGAGGAAGGTGAAGCAAGTCTAATGCATCTCCCACCTTTCTTCCGTCTTGTCTATTTAGGATATGATTTAGCAAGATACTTAAGCAGGCACTTAACTTTAAGCTCATGAACAGAGTTGGCCAAAAATTTTAACTTTTTTTCCCACCAAAAAAATTGCAGCTTTAGGTCAACTGAAGCATTTTGTGAATTCATGTCAAGCAAGCAAACAAAACAAAACAAAAAAAGTAAAACACAAAATCAGGACATGTTTCAATGGGCATTCTGCCTAAGTCAGGACTGAAAGATTTCCCCTGAAGTAACACATGCCAGAAATACACAATTTCGTATTTTTGTTGTTGTTGTAACTTCCATTCTTTTGCAGCATTCTCGCATAAGGGTGAACGTACACATTCTTTCCCTCCCAATTTTGTGCTTTTCCTTTTGGTCCCACCTAGGGTGACCAGATGTCCCGATTTTATAGGGACAGTCCCGACATTTGAAGCTTTGTCTAATATAGGTGCCTTTTGCCCCCCACCCCCTGTCCCAATTTTTCACATTTGTTATCTGGTCACCTAGTCCCACACCCATTTCGTCCTTGCAATTAACAGGGCCTTTTCTATTGAAATCCGTTTCATGGAATCACTGAGTAGAAGGCCAGAAGGGAACATACAGCATGTTCTCCCCTCAGGCCTGCCGACAGCACTTCTGAGTCCCAAGGCAGAACAGTCAATGGGTCCCCTAGAAAGGGATGGCTGAGGTTTGATTCGTGCAGGGCGGGCTGGAGCCGGGCCCCACGCTGCTGCTGGCCCGGCGTGGCCACACGGGCGCGGAGCTGGATCTCGTGCGGCAGCTGGTGCAGGCACGCACAAGCCGCGGATGCGGTCTGCCTAACTTTTGGGTGGTGCTGTGCCTGCGCTGGCCGGTGCCCAGCGAGCTGCCGGCTGTACTGCTGGGTGCTCTCTTCTGGCACGGCCAGGGCTTCCACCTGTCCGCCCGGCTGCCTTCACCGCCGCTGCTTTTTAGCCACCAACTCCGTGGGTGCTTGGGGGCTGGAGCACCCATGGGAAAAAATGATGGGTACTGAGCACCCACACTGGCAGCCCCACTACCAGAACCTCCCCCTCTCCCGAGCGACTCCGGCCCTTTGCCGGGCCCCGCTGATCAGCGCCTCTCTCTCCCTCCCAACACCTACCGCCTGCCACGGATCAGGCTTTGGGGGAGTGGGGAGGAGCGAGGGCGCAGCATGTTCTGGGGGAGGGGGCGGAACTGGGCGGGGGCAGGAAGAGGCGGGGCGGGGCCTCGGGGGAAAGGGTGGAGCGGGGTGGGGCCAGGGCAGAGCCGGGGGGGAGCACCCCCCTGCAGATTAGAAACTCCGTGCTGGCCGTGCACGCCTAGGAGCCCTGTGGCCCGCCCGGGCGATTTAAAAGGGCCTGGGGCTCCCGGCCGCTGCTACTGTGGCAGCAGCCCCCCAGGCCCTTTTAAATCGCCCGGGCCCCTGGGCAATTGGCCCCTTTGCTGGGCCTGTCTCCCCTATATCAGAGGCCACCACCACCATAAAGCACCTGCCCACTCAACCCAACAACCTCAGCATCCTCAGTGCTGTAAGAAGCTAGAAGAGTTAATTAACGGATAGAACAAGAGATGGTTTCCAGGATGTTCCCTATGGCTTTTCACTGGCAAGACTAGAGTGGTGTGTTAAAAAAAGGAAGACTAAACAATGCTTGACAAACTCCCTGTAAAAAATGAAATCAAAAAGAGAAGGGTGCTGTAATGTTATTTTAGGTCATGCCATTCGTGTCAATTTGGGTTCCCTGCATTCCTTGTTCAGAGCATGCTAAAGCAATCTGTGCCTCAGCCCTATGAATAACGTGCAAGCTACATTTATAGCTGGCAAGGAGGTGATTTGGCTTTAACCGTACATCTGACAAAATAAAAACTACTCCAAGAGAAGGACTTGGGAACAGATACACAGTGACAAATTCAAAATGGGCAACGTCCGCAGTGGGTTTCAATTAGTGATTCTTCATGGCAAGGAGGGTTTTCTCTCCCCCCCTCTGTCCCTAAAGCCTCCTTGGAATCCAACGTGTCACATGCCTGAGATCTCCAGAGTGCACAGAGTCGGGTGGGGAGCCCTTTAAGAAACCAATGTGAACATCTGCCTCCCACAAAAGTGGTGGGAAGAGGAGCGGGTCATTCTCTCCAGTTGCAAAAATGAGAGGACCACAGGTTGGAGACGTTCCTTGAAGGGCTAATTATGTTGTTTGGTAAGTACTAAAACTGCATGCTGGTTGGTGATCTACTTTGCTTCCCACTTGCACATTCATTAGCTGAGTGGGTTTAATGTGCTCTGTAGAAGAAAACGTGTTGTTTGGCCTTTTGCACAGCTCAGCCTTTTGCAAATTTCTTTTATGCTAACGCACTTCTGTCTGAGGCAACCAGCTCATCATCTGTTCTGTTCGGCCTCTGTTTCTTACCTCCTCAGTCTTGTAACTGCAGGGTCAGATCTTCAGCAGCTGTAAATTGGTGTAGTTCCATTCAATGGACCTATGTCACTTCCAGCTACAGATCTGATCCCCAATGTTTCTAGTAGTTTTGGAATCATTCCTCAGCTGCCCCCACATAAGAATCTAACATCATTACAGCTTTCAAACATTAAGATTATGGCACAGCTAATGGAACGAAGTTGGTTACATTTGTCTGTAACATAGTCCATAAGGCCAAGTACTACAGGGCCAGGAGGTATATACAATAATCCGTTATGCTGCAATGAGTGAGTGTACTGTACAATAATGAATCAAGGATGAGCGAGTAGAAAAGGAACAAATAAAAGGAAGAATGGAGCTGCTGCTTTGACCTTGGATCTTCTTGCTGCAGGTGAAACATTCCACAGCCTTTGTAGGACTGAAATGCTTTTTGTTTCGTCTGTGAATTTTTTTCTTATTTCTTGTATACAACCACAGAACAATAATAAAGAAAATGGGAGTTTTCGAGCACACCAATATTCTGAGCAGGTGAATATAGTAAACAGGCAGCGCTGGATTGTCCTTTGCATTCTGAATAGAAAGGACCAGATTCCCATTTAAACTGAAGACCCCCTCTGGCAGCATAAACAGGCCTTAAAGAATTTATTCCTGCTTTAAGACCCTTTTGCATTGCAAAAGCACTGCAAAGCGGCCTTAGTGTAAATGAACACCAGGCCCTAGATCGCTTAACGATTATTCTGCTCTCCTTATGGGTTGGAATCCGCACCATTGCTGCCTTCATTACTAACCACAATGTACATAGGTTCAGGACATAGGCTCTGATCCTGCACCATTAAAGTCATTGGGAGCTTTGCCATTGATTTCAATAGGTCCTTAATGCACACCAAACCCCCACTGATATCAATAAGGGTTGTGTGCCTGCAGCAGGAGACAGAGCAAAAGGCACATTAAGCAGTTTGCCATTTGGATTGAAGAGGAGATTCATGAAAGGTCTGTTACACATGAGGATGCAAAGCAATTCTCCTCATAAAAGCAGCAGAATAAAACCCTGAACTTGAACCTCTCTGTGCTCAGAAATCTCTCTCAGCTATTGCTTACTATGAAATATCCAGCCCCAGGGTTCTCCATGAGAACGGGATGGCATTTAAAAAAAAAAACACCGTAATTAAATATTGACACATTTTAAAGTTGTTTCCATTTTGCAGTATTTGAAACAGACCCACAATTTTCATTTGGCTAGAAATCACCAAAAATGTCTCCAATAAATGAAACATTTCAAAAAAGTCAGCAGGTTGTCAGGTTTTTTTTTCAAAAAGACCATTTTTTGGACCATCCAGCTGAAAAATTTCAAACAGTCCTACGCTCACCCCTTTTCATCTCCTGGCCTGTTACGTATTACAGGGATTCTTTGGGGAGCCACGCCTCTCCCTCCCATTCACCATTGTACCACTTTGGGGTAACTACAGCAGAAGTAACTACATTAGAATGTAATGTAGCAGCTGGAAATAAGGGGGAGGGGCTAGTACCATGTGACCAGTCAACTGCCAATTGATTATGCCTTGAGAACCTCCGACATAGGCCATTTTAGAACAAAATTGGCTCTGTGTTCTCATTTCGAGTGTACATTTTGTGAACTGGGGTTTATAGACCATCATATTTATCTTCAGAAAAATAATCTGGCATCATATTAAGCTTCCTTCATTAATAATTGTCTTTGTGTCCTTCATTTTGGTTCATTAGAAATCTAAATTCTGACTGTGGATGGCCTAAGAGGCATAAAAATCCTGCATTTAGATAATCAAATTGGCAATCTGAATATCCAAATGCAGGATTTAGACAGCTGAAAAGTGACCCCTACATCCACTTGTAGGCCTTGGTAGATAGTAAGAATCCATAGCTTCCCTGCTGACCTTAAAAAGGCCTCTGGTTTCATCCTCGTTTGCCCTTGCTATAGTCACGGGGTCCAGCAGGTGTGTCATAATCTCTGTTATAACGATCATCATCCCACTTAGACACAGTCTAGTAGGTTTACCACAAGTAATGGTGAATATTCTAACGATGCCTGATACCGCGTGTAACACCAACAGACCCTGGTCGTCGGCGAGTGGGATAGAACCTAGGACCTTTGCAGCTTAGTGCATGAGCCTCTACTGCATGAGCTAAAAGCCTCTTAGGTAAGGCCGCAGAGCAGACTCATTAATCTCTCTCTAAGTGGTCTCGGTGCCACTAGATGGGACAGAGCACCACACCCAGGAGGTGTGTGGGTTACACACGCACCGGTCATAGTAAGTGCACACAGTGCAAGAGATCTGAGTGCAGCTTGAATCTAGGTGTGTTTCAAAGATGGTGGAGTGAGGAGGAGGAATTGGCATGCTGGATGGGGAGAGTTATCACGTTACTGCAGGGGGCGGGGCGGTGGGAGTTTGGACAAGTATCCCAAAGGCACATAGATGATTATGTAGGGTGGGAGGTTACTTTTTAAATGCCCAGCTTACTCAGCTTCCTACAGCTCTGCAAATAGTGAAACTTAGCTCAATAAAACGTACTTACCAAGTTACTACTCCCGCATGTGTACGGGTGGCAGACTCACGCCCAAAGTCAGCTACTAATGATCGGGACTAGTGGAGCGGAATCGGGTGCAGCGTCAGCAAAATGTGAAAAATACTGGCTTTGTGTAGGTCCTACCAAAACATTCTGCAGCATGCACATATACAACTATACTATGCATCTTCTTAAGCTCCAGTGCTTTCTTTGGTACTTTCTAAAAAACTGGCACAATCTGCACACATCACTGTTTAATTTATGCCAGACTTTCTTTTACATATATTTTTTTTTTTGGCTATCTAAAGTTTTAAACTTAAATGCGTGCACACACATACATACACCCTCAGTCTGGATCAAGGCAAGCGCTAACCCTGCTTAGTGTAAATCCTGGCCATCTGACAACAATCTTTTGAACAAGCCAGCCATCTCCTAAGTCTCTCTGTAGTTCACACTTCACAGAACGAGTAATGTGATACTGGTAAACGTCAGGAAGAAGGTCTTACTTTGGTATGCTTTGAATACTGCTGAAGCTGCCCACTACGGGCCCTTTCTACTTACAGCTTGCCATTCCTCCATTTCCCAGCTGTAACGGGGACATTCAGCAATGTGGCATTCCTGTTCAGAGACTGGTCTTGTGAATTGGTAACAGTCGGTCTCCCGGGCTGTTTTCTGAGTGCCCGTGTGGCAATACACATTTCTCTGCTGAATGCCTCGTCCACAGGACACGGAGCACTAAAGAGGGACAAAAAGAAGTAAGTTGCAGCTTTCCTTATTTTCCTTGTGAAACTCTCTGTTGCTATAGTGAACTTCTCTGATTTCAGACGAGGACGGGAGCGGAGATAATGCTCTGCTTTGAGTTTGGAAACACATTTAACACTTGTCTGAGCTAGCCAGCAACAGCACCTAGACATTTAAAACTCTGACTCCTTTTGATGCAGAAAATTCTTCTCCATGTAAGAAAACATTTTGCAGGGAATCTGAACGCATTGGGTGAAGTCCTGGCTCCAGTGAAGTCAATGGGAGTTTTGCCATTAACTTCAGCGGAGTCAGGGTTTCACCTATAAGATTTATACTGCAAAAATCTCTAAGGATAGCAGCATTGTTAAAAAAAAAATCACAAGATGCTAGAGTCAGCAGGAATTGTATGTTACTCCTTGCACACTCAGTTCAATAGTTTAAATAAATCAAACTTTACAGAAACATCGTTCAGTAGACTGATCAGCCTGTAATGAAAAGCAAGCACGAATTATATAGCATAAGAACTGAAGCAATGAAGAATTGTAGGTACGAGACTTCTGGAATTACTTTTAATTTACATATACACCATAGCAAATTACTACATACCGCATATCCCCACAAACAGAACTATTTTTGTAAATTAGTTGCTTTACTTTCACATATATTAGCTTCATTATGGCATGAGCACATTTTTATCCGCGTCTAGTCATATAATGAAAGCCTGGTTTTAATCATGAGCAAAATTAGTTTTTCAGATTTTTGAATATTAATATCTACAGCTCACGGTTTTCAATAGCTTAATTTTTTCCATACAAAAATACTTTCTGCTAACATCCCACAATATAATATGTTTAACTGGTACTTAACTTCACTGTTCTATGGATTCTTTATTGTTAGGTCCTAATATGTAGTTTGTAAATGCGGAACAAGATTAGTAAAGATTAGATAGAAGTGTGAATAACAGAGGTGTATGGTTGAAATGTAGATATTATGATTAACATTTTGCTTTATTAAAAATTAGTAGACAAGACCTAATTAATATATGTGATACTGAGCAAACAAGTTTATAATACCACGAAAGTAAGCCTTATTAAGTAATGGAATTAAGCAATTTATAACGTGCAAGGAATCCTCTTCCAAAACTTTAAAAAGTATTCTTCTGTAATGCAGTGTTTCCTTTACTATCTGAACACATCAGAAAGCAAAGGAGACCAAAAAACCCCCAACCCCTGACTGTGAACATTCTCCTGGTTATAAATATTTATGAAAGGCTGGTTTGTGTAACTTGGAAAAGTAGCACAATGCACTTAGATTCCTATGATTGGTGATGCAAATACATCCCATATGCTGTAGTGCTTCTATTGTGATTAACACGGTTTATCTTAAACATTCCACAAGGGAGAGCGAGCTGAACAGTGGAAACACAGTCGGAGAAACACATCCACCCGGATGCTTAGTACATTTTTAAATAACTTTTGTCCAAGTTTATCACCTACAAAACACATTTGCAAGAATGTTGTGATAGTGACAGAAGCGGTTAAAGTTGCAGCTCTGTCCTAGAAGGGGCTGATCCTGCATTTGATATCGAATTGAACAGGAAAATGTTATACAACATAGTGAGCCAAAAAGGACAAAAAGGACATGTTCTCTATATGTGTATATATACACCTCTACCCTGATAGAACGCTGTCCTCGGGAGTCAAAAAAATCTTACCGTGTTATAGGTGAAACTGTGTTATATCGAACTTGCTTTGATCCGCCGGAGTGCGCAGCCCCGCCTCCCCGGAGCACTGCTTTGCCGCGTTATATCCGAATTCATGTTATATCGGGGTAGAGCTGTATCTCCTCACTATATGTTCCATTCTATACATCCGATGAAGTGGGCTGTAGCCCACGAAAGCTTATGCTCAAATAAATTTGTTAGTCTCTAAGGTGCCACAAGGACTCCTCGTTCTTTTTGCGGATACAGACTAACATGGCTGCTACTCTGAAAAAAGGACAGTGATGTCTTATTTTAGTAATGGGAGTTTATTGTATGAAAAGCTGTAATAACTGGACTCCAGTTTACTATATGTAAAACTGTAATACTCCCAAGGACCAGACAGGGGCTTTTAAGCCATGGACACAAGCCCCCAGGAAAAGATTTTGGCTAATTTAGGGGCCCACCTGGAATGAAATCCTGGCTCAATTGAAGTCAAGAGAAAAACTCCTGCTTAATTCAGTGGAGCCAGGATCGCGCCATTTGTGAGCTTAAGTCAGGAAAAATCCTTTGGAGTGGGAATTTTTTCATCAACTTGAATGCGGCCAGGATTTCACTCCTGAGATCCCTGCTATACTGTCATGTTTATCCAGAACACATCCAAAAATCCCAAAAGAGACAAGGCTCCAAAACTACTTCTTTGGCTTAATCGATAACAGAAGAGAAACTACTGCCGCTATTAGAACATTAATACTGGATGGACATCATTTTCCTTACAAATCAGAGCGGTGTCATCTATAAGGTTCTGAAAACAAGGAAGTTGCCAGTTTATGGGCTAGAATTCTTTCAAAGAGGTTACCACACAGTCCGCTTTGGATCAAGCCCCTAATCAGTATGCAGCCTTCTCACTCTCTGTTTAGAACGCTTACATATGTGTCAGAGTACAGATAGGATTTTACAACTGGATTCCTAATAATAGAAGGATACACTATTATAAATGCCCATTTAGACAGAAACTCTGCCCTACAGTATTTTTAACAGTGATCATTGTTTTACTTTATCAAACCAATTGACTCACCTCTGTTGATCTGAGAAGCAGGGCCGGCCCCAGGCACCAAGCACCCAAGCTGGTGCTTGGGGCGGCACCTGGAGGGGGGCGGCGGCGCGGCGCTCTGGCCGCCGGGGGGGGGG